GGGAACCGAACCCACGATCTTGCGCTTGCCAGCCAGGTGCTTTGCCGCTGAGCTAAATCCCCAGCCCCTATTTTCATCTCCTTATGTTTATTCATTTATTTCAGATCATTCCCAATGATACATGGATGAGCCAGATGATAAAGTGCATCCTGATAACTCTTTTAAGCCAAAAAAACAAAACAAAGCAACCCCCCAAAACTAAAACAAAGAAACAAACCCAAGAAACAACTTAGATAACTAAGATATACCATAAACAATATTGACACTAAACAACTTTTAAGGTGGACAAATAATTTTATTTTGTGCATGCAAATACATGTCAAGTACTGCAAACTCTTTCCATCAATTTTCTCTCAAACACTGAAAATCATGATGCTCTATTTTGTGAACAGCCAAAGCTAATACCTCTTCACTTCAGTGCTACAGCAAAAACACACAGAATTCACTCTTTGCTATTCACTATCATCACAACCCTCATTGTTCCATCTCTTCCCTCCCCCCATATACAGGCCTTATAAGTCCTAGCCGTCCCCCATTTAATCCTATTCCTATAGCACAAAGGGAAACATTACAATTTGGAAATTCAAATCGAAATAAATGGAATAGAATTTATTCCCATATATATTCCCCACTTCATTGTACAGAATTTTAAATTATAGTTTTAAATAGAAGCTGAGTATATGCCTTAAAAATGAGCATTAAATCCATCTTAGAGATGGTGCCTGCTTTTTACATGATGGGTGTACACCATCTTTAATTTCATTTACATTTCAATCGAACAATAGATTTGCAAAGAAAATGTCTAATACAGACGTAAAAATATTCACACTAGAGCTTCACAATCGGTTGTACAATTGACAAACAGGCCTCTTTTCCCAAACTTTCCAGCTAAGCAAATTTATAAAGTGTAATCAATGCAACAAGAAGAACATTTCTCTTTCACTTCCAGGGAAAAGAATATGCAATAAACAGTATAAATGCAGACAGCAGTTGCTGCAAGCTAACCACGATACTCCCAAGTGGCTGTACAGTGGATATGTGCAGTACAAATAAAAGCCACATGTGTTGTATCACAACTACAGTATAACCGTTTGCCCAGCTAAGAGGATGCATGCACTTCCATGCCTTGGGTTACAGAGTGAGGCCTAATTCTTCACAGGTTGATGGAATATGTGCAAATGACCTTGGCTTTTGGCAGTACTAAGTGCAGCCAGTGTCTGTTTTCCACTGGTTTGGGGATATTTTTAAATTTCTATGTAAAAACAAAAAACAAAAAACACAAAACTGCCAGTTTCGGACTTGGGGGAATAACTGCTCTTGGAGTAAAAATAAGTCTCCACTCAAATGTGGGGTTTTCTGATCTATGGTCTTGACTCCTTGTACTCCCTTGCCAGCAAAGGGATACAAAGAAACCGCTAGTACCAAGGAGTTACTAGCAAACTTTTTCAATTTATCCAGAAAACGGTATACTCCTAGAGCATGTTCATTTGTGTTCTGCTTGCAGAAGGGGTCCTTACAAAGAAGGAGCTATAGTAAGTGATCCCATCAACACTCTTCATTCACTAAACACAAGAAAAGTTCTTCCAGAAAACTAACACACGGTTGGAATTTAACTTTTCCCTTTAATGATTAGTTGCCAATACTGGTGATGGTCCGCTCAGAAAAGGACTCAAAGAAGCTAGAGAGGGCTGGAGATATAGCTCAGTGGCATAAGCGCCTGCCTGGCAAGCACAAGGTCGTGAGTTCGATCCCCAGTACCGAAAAAAAAAAAAAAAACAACAAAACAAAACAAAAAAACAATCTAATCCAAAGAAGCTAGAGAAGAAATACTCAACTTTGAAATCACATACTAAATCTGTCACAAATCTATCCATTAATAAGACAAAATGGGCTTTAGTGTCTGAAATGTGAAAGGTACATGGCTTTTAAAACAATTTTTCTAATGTTTAAGGGATACCATTAAAAATTCCTACAAAGCATTGTGCATTTTGTAATTTTCTCAAGGCGGTATACAAAATTGGGGTGTGTTTCATATACCGGACATCAACTCCAAATTTGGGTGAAAATAGCTAGATCTATACACATGGAAATTTTAATGCTAGAATGGGAGGTTTCATTTACTATTCTCTTACTAAAGTAAATAGTCACCAGGGTAGGGAGTGGGCGGGGGGATCAGTGCTACTGGTCCAATGAACTACCTTGTCTTGAAAATTACAATGCACAATTTTTCATGTACGATTCTGGTTCATCATATGGCATTTAAAGTAAGCCATGTCAGCAAAGGCAAAGGAATCTCATTTGTTCACGTATCAACTAGAAGACATATGTATCTTTTTCAGAAGTCATAAAATAAGACCACAAAAAAACACCTACTGATACTATATCCACAGCATCTGAGCAAGGCTGGTGGTCCTAGGGATGTGACTTAAAAATTGAAAAAGGAAAAAAAAAATACCCTTTCCTGATTTCCAGACCTCAGACTTTTTTCCTGATTAGACCACTGGCAACATATATAATTTTCATTACTAACGTTACAAATTTCCTCTCCTCTTGCTATGCAGCCTTTAATTTCAAATGCTTACATCACAATGTGTTGGTGAAAAGGTCAACTGACAACTGTTCCAATGTTAAGAAGCCATTCTCTAGGTCTGAGTTGTATGGTTTACCTCTATGACATCAGTAGATACCACTTTGAAGAAGGATCGGATGAACTGGTCTTTCTTCTGAAGTGGTAGAGAAAACCAATAGCTTTATTTCACATTAAAACCCCCATGACAGACAGAAGGTGGCCACCACCCAGAGAAAGATGCAATATAGAATAATGTCAAAACAGAATCATTTCCTATGTTGTTAGTGAAAAAGAGTGGGATTTTAAGAATAGGGAGTTACTATTTTATGGGATCACCTGCTGCAGGACAAGCATTATTTTAATATAAATATTCTGAGACTTATCAATAAGGTTGGCAGGTATATACATACACTGATGCAAATGTAATTTACTGGACAAGTAGGCAAACACCTAAGCAGTTTATCCCAACCCCCTCCAGCAGAGCACAACCAAGTTTCAAAATTTCAATTTTAAAATTAAAAAGATAAGGTTAAATACACAAGATCAATTTATGTAGTATATATTCACCCTCAGAACGTGCTGAAGATGTTTTGTGTAGTTCTGTTGCACAGAGGGTTCTTTCCCTGAGGGCACATAAGGAGCTCTCGAACTGTTAATAGGTCTCTATTTTGTAACAAAATAGCGATTTTAAAATCTTAAAAAAAAATACATTACCTTCAACATGGAAGATCTCACTATTAAATATCCATGAAGTAGACAGACTGGTTTGCATATCCTTTTTGGAATTACAAACAGCAAATAAAGTACATTGGAAGCATTCAAAATGTAATAAGCACGTATTTATAGAAAGGTTTTGATATAAATTATATAACAATCATGTTCCTGTAATATCCTAGGCTAATTTATAATGTCAGAAATAAGTTAATGTAACATGGTTTAAAACTCTTGTTCCTATTCACTTCAGGTTACAGAGTGAAATAAATAAAATGTCTCTGTAGGGATGAGGAGCACTGGCCATGGCAAAAAGGTACAGTACTAACCAAAGAAAACTAAGTCAAGGCTACTGTGCTGTTATGCTACAAACATCTTCATACATTTGAGTATTAAATAAATGTGTAAGATCTTCCATACTGACACCAGAATATCAAAACTACCCCTTTGTTTCTCAGGTATATTTACAACTTATCAGTCACCTTATGAGCATGTTCATTAAGACAGGTATCAAACACCAGTATTTACTCTTTCTGATCAAGAAATTTCAGGGAAATGTCAACCCTCCCGCCCCTGGAAATGTGCACAAAACTTTTATCAAAATCTTATCTGATACAATGCTGTGGTTTTGTAAAATAACTAAATAGCTCAGACGACCAATAACATGATCCTGTTTAAGCATCTTGCTAGCAGGAAAAGCCCTTACATACAGTACACCTGGTGAAAGATCAGCTTGGCTTAAAATATTCCAGTACAATTTTCAGAGTAAACAACTTCACAGAAGTTAATTAAAAAAATAATAAAAGTCAAACTAATCTTAAAGAAATGGAAGAAAAACAAAAAGACTAACTATAGGTAAGGTCACCTGGAAAAGATGCCCAGCTTTTGTCTTCAAATGTTGACTGAAATTTAGGCTTCAATAAAATATCTCCCACAAATCTGGGGCATAGCTGGTTGAACATACTGCAAACTTTTAGATGCCAAGTCAGAATAATTTCAGTCACATTATGCCAGGGCAGGTATTATTCATGTTTTTAAATATAAGTAAATGTTAGCCAATGTTCTACTATAACATGGTTCATAGTCTTATCAACCTACCACTCAGAAAACAAGGAAAATTAAACCCCAACATGAAGTAACAATAAACAATATTTAACCAAGATAATGCAATGAACATCTAAATTAATTAGTTTAAATTAAAAACCCAGCAATACCATCTTGTTAGTCAGTGCAAACGCTACATACAGGGTTTTCTCATGAAAGCTGAAAGCACCTGATTCTTTTGCCAAGTCATCAGATTCTATAATGTACAGGCTTAAATCTGCATTTTAAAAAACTGCCATTACATTAGTGCATAATTTATCAAAATTGTAAAAACGATTCTGCATAACTTAGGAGAATTTAATATCTAGTACATCAGCTGAAAGACTTAGGCACTTGGTTATATTTTTAATTAATTACTTCAACAAGTAGCCTGTGTATAAATATTAACAGAGCAGAAACTATTCTTGAAAAATGTAAAATTTAAAAGAAAAAAAAACATAAATGCTACAGATAAAAGCACTGCACCACACTCCTACATATAATACAGTAAAGAAAGCTAGTATATAACCCTGTAAAACTCTATGGTAAGAATGTCTAACTCCACTCTTCAAAATTAAAAAAAAAAAAAAAAAAAAAAAAAAAAAGGAAAAAAATCCATGCAAAGTCCCATGAAAAAGATAAATAAAGCAGCTGGAATGAGATGGAAATTTCTCTCAGTGAAACATAAAATAGAAATAAATAAGTTAATTAAGTCTACTTTCACTAGATGTATCATTGTAGGATCCTGCTAGTTTAATAACTGAGTTGTTAATTTTTCTACAGAAGCCATTTAAAATAGGAAATGGCTCAGTTACTGCACCGGATTGCTACAAACTCATAAAAAGCTGCTTGAAGCTTAAGTTAAATGTTGTCCAAATTCCAATAACTTCTGGAAAGTGAACATGTTACCCTAGTAAAGTAAATTTTCTTTTTTTTTTCATAATGCTAATGCAAGAGGGCTTGAAGTATCAAAGAGTCCACAGGAAACAGATGCCCCCAGTAATAACTTTTTTTAAAAAAAATATACATTATATAATATATATTATATATATAAAAAGCTAGTGTAAATGCTTCCATGGTGTGGTCACAAATTTGAAAGATGAATCTTCTTTCAGCTGTTAACCATCTTCCCATTTGCAACAGGTTTTAAAAAGTCGTTTTTATCTTCAGACATAACGTGAGTTTTCAGAATGAGGTTGCCAACACTGACAGATGTGGTGATGGGGAGGCAACTTGCATTGCTCACAGACACAGGGAGTGACTGACTAAAGCAAGAAGTTACCGGCAGAATTGGTTTTTGCTCCTCCCTGAGAGAAAATAAATGACAAGAAAACAAATTAGTTTTTAGGGAAAACTGAAGAGTAACCATACATGCTTAATGAAAGCTGCATCAAACTTTAAGAGGCTAAAGCAAAACCATGTCTTTTTATCAGTAAAACGTATTGAAAGCCAGTTTAAAAGGCCCCATTTTAAAAAATTAAAATACTGGCTAGTTTAAAACTAATCAAATTATCAAGTTCAATATTAAACCCATTATTTGTGGTGGTAATTATAAAAAAAATGGCAATATTATGCTCAAGAAAATCTCAGTATGCTTTTTAAAACAAGAAACAGGGGCTGGGGATTTAGCTCAGCGGCACAGTGCCGGCCAGGCAAGTGCAAGGTCGTGAGTTTGATTCCCGGTACTGGAAAAAATAAATAAATAAATAAATAAATAAATAAATAAACAAAACAAGAAACAATCTAGGTTTTAATTCTCCATTTTCTAGTCTAGAAGTTTGGCCAAACTGAAGTGTAACCTGGTTCTAAAGTGCACTCTTAACACTTATCCCAATAAAAGCAAATTTCAGGTTACTAAAATGACTACTCTGTAAACCAGATGTGGTGGTACATGCCTATAATCCCATCTACCTGAGAGGCTGAAGCAAGAGGATCATAAATTCAAGCTAAGTCTAGGCAACTCAGCAAGATCCTGTCTTAAAATTTAAGAGACGGGATGTAGTTCAAGGGTAGAGTACTTGCTTAGCATGCAAGGAGCCCTGGAGATTTTGACTAGCCAGAACACTGCCTTAACATAAAAGGTTTTCTTCTCACACAATAAAGTGAAAAATGAATCTGATACAGCATCTTTTTTTCTTTAAATACTCATGCCCTATCCCCACTGGTTATAAATTTTCTGTCTAACACTCACAGATTCACATGGTCTTCACCTAAACTCTGTCTCTTTTGCTTTAATGGCTCTTTTTGATGCTGTTGAGCTGGATGCCCATTTTCCACTGCAGTTCCATTTAGCAACTGGTCGTTTTGAGCACTAATACCAAGTTGTATGTCTAAGATCTCCTAAAAAAACACAATGTTAATCTTTCAGTATGAAAGTATTTTATATCATTTAATTTTCAATGCAACAAAGTTTCTACTTATGTAATTGTAGGACTTACTTCAATTTGTTCACTTTGTCCATCAGTTTCATCAGTATCAAGTGCTGAAAGCTCTAACTCAATATCTCTATCAGGCTTAGTATCTGCTGCATCTTCTGTATAATCACTCTGTAAATGAGAAAAAAACTGATTTTGCCAGGTGTGGTGGTGCATACCTGTAATCCAGTACTCAGGAGGCTGAGGCAGGAAGATTGCTGCAAAGGTCAAGGCTAGTCTGGGATACATTGTAAGTTCAAGGCCAGCCTGAACTACAAAGCAAGACCCCCCGTCTCAAAAAAAAAGAATAAAAAATAAAAACAAAAAAAAGAAGAAAAGAAGAAAAACACTGATTTTGTACTTGCAGAACATGGGGCCACCCTTTAAAATTAAAACAAGAATCTCAAATCCTGGAGCTATATAATATTATGCTACTGTAAGTTGGGCGTGGTAGCGTACACCTGTAATCCTAGCACTTGGGAGGCTGAGGCAGGAGGATAACAGCAAGTTCAAGGCCAGCCTGGACTATACAATGACCTCAAGGCCATTCTGAACTACATAGCAAGCTCTTGTCTCAAAAAACAAAACAAAACAAAGAAACAACTAATATGCTACTGTAAACTTTAAAAGCAATCAATTATCCATCAGAAAAAGGTACATCAAAATGCAGTAATTAATGGCATAAATGGACATGCACCTGCAGAAAGCAAACACATTGAACATGGAGCTAGGGGGTTCAATATCTTTACCTCTCCATTTCTCAGTTCAATTTCCTTACTTAGAAGATTTAAGGTAAGGTGACGGCCTTCATCTAGGGAATTCCACTTCTGTTGCATGGCTAGAGCATTTGCCTCCCTCTGTAGAAGTAATGAGTTACTCTTGGCCTATCAGAAGAGAGGAAAACACACTTAGTTTCCAACCATAGCTTTCAACTGCCATTCTATTTTTTTAAAAATAGAGCTGAGTTACATCAAGCCCACCTGCTGAAGCTCAATGCTCAAAAGGTCTCCAGTACTGGAATGCTTTCTATGACCAGACAGATCAGTAACAATGAATCTGTCCCTTTAAAGAGAGAGAAGTGTATTGTAATAAAAATTAAATAAATGAAGTAACTAAAGCAGTAATGACTATAAGTAAACATCAACTCTGAAAATTTCAGTCATCATTCCAAACAGAACTTTATCTCAGACATTTGTTACATAGCTCAAAGTATATTCTGTGGACAACTGAAGCAGATTTTTATCATTTTTCAGGAAAGTATGAGAATACAAAAAAGAATTAAGAATAAGAATTTAGGAAAAAAACTAAGAATAACGTTACCGTTCAATATAGTGTGCTGACGATGTGGCCTCGTTGCCATACGAACTCCACCTTGAATCAACAGCATTGACATAAGGGACATAATCTACAGGTAAACAAAAAGAAGGAAGTATTAGAAAAGTGCAATAAGAGTACAGAAGTGAACACATACTTTTTTAAAAAAAATTGTCTATTTTATTGCACTAGCCATGTAATCCTGATTACACTATATAATTCTGAGTTTGGGGGCTGGGGATTTAGCTCAGCGGCACAGCGCCTGCCTGGCAAGCACGAGGTTGTGAGTTCAATTCCCGGTACCAGAAAAAAAAAAAAAAATTCTGAGTTTGCCATAGTCATTAAATGGAGGGGAATGTTCCCTGTTTCACAGGCTGGGAAACAAACAGCACAATGTGTAAAATCTAACAGACTAAGTATAGTTACAATGGAGTACCTGATACACTGATCGGCTTAGTTGCACTTCCTTGGGAAGCAGTGGCCTGGACAGGATCCGTAGTATGGTAACCTGTACGAGAAGATCGGGAAATTGCACCCCATTTTGAGATGATGGGTCCATCGCTAAAGGGAATTATTGGGTCTTCTTCTTTAGTTCTTCTTTGAGTTTCAAATAAATGCACTCTTCTTTTAACATCTCCACTGTCCAGGTCCTGCATAAACCAAATGATATCAACAAAAGCACTGTTGGTAATTATTTGAGCTAGTAGTACAATTGTTATGTTATTAAAAGACATGTAATGGATGCAATGGTGCATGTCTATAATCCCAGCACTCTGGAAGGCTGAGGTAAAAGGGTCTCAAGTTCAAGCCCAGACTGGGCAACTTGGCAAGACCTTGTTTCAAAAAACAAAAACAAACAACATAAAAAGAGCCAGTATGTAACGCAGTGTGAAGACCCTAAATTCAAAGCATCAAAAAAAGAAAAGGACATTAAAACAGATTTTTCTGTTAAATTTTACACTAGCTCTGTATCTCCATGAGAACCCAGAAGCTAAGTTAAACCATCAAGCTATGCTCAACTATTTTAAGCATTAAATGCTATTTATTTCAAACTTCTCAAAATATAACACTGCTGCTTACAGGTAAGTGATACAGCAACAATAGGAAGATGAAAGCATTCATTCTAAAATAAGTCAACATACATAATTCCCCCCACTCCCAACTCTTCTACACAAGTATAATCATACCATTAACACAGCATTTGAATTAGCGATTACATCTTTGGGCTCTGAATCGATGGCATTTATGCAGGAGCCTATGGTTCCACAAGACCAGGGAGAATAATGGGAAAGATGATCTTCTTCAAATTTTGTACCACTCACACTCTCAGAGAACTGATTTAAAAAAAAAAGGCAGTTAATATGAAACATTTTACAAGCTTGTAATTAACATAAAGTAATGTATGTTAAAGAACATATATTCTCTCAACAATATAAAAAATTTATAAGCAACGAGTAGTATTTCTACAAAAAATGCCATGCTATCTCTTTTTACTTTGTCCTTTAAACCTTATAAGGAACTCCTGACTGATACTATCTAAACCAATCAACAAGTGTTTATAACATGCTGCTAACATACTAAAGCGGTATCTCAGTTCACAAACTTCATTCTTTCCATGCTTCTGGTCACAAAATGAATTAGGTAACTATATCAAATTGAGTAGTTAAATTCAATTTTGACCTTATAGGAAATCTGATTCAGTTTTTTGGTTTGTGAACAAAATCATGGAAAGAATTAAGTTTGTGCACTGAGGTACCACTGTATTGGGGTGCTCTAAAATATTGAAAAAAGAAAAATATACAGTACACATAGACACAAAGATTATGCCCTAAAAGAGTTTATGATTTTCTTGAGAAAAAAAATAAAGATAAGGAAACATAAGTGATAAAACATACAGTATTAAATAGAGAACAACCCAGCACTTGGGAGGCTGAGGCAGAAGGATCGTTGCAAGTTCAAGACCAGGCTGGGCTACAAAGTGAGCTCAAGGACAGCCTGAACTGCATAGTGAGATCCTGTCTCAAAAAGACAAAAAATAAACAGAAAGAGAACCAAAAGAATTCAAAGTTGGGTCTGGAGCTAGAAAGGGAAGTGAATAAATTTTAAAGGGACTATACTGAATACTATGTGGCCAGAACATAAAGTTGTTAGAATCATCAAATCTGGTTTACCAATTATACAGACATGGAAATTCAAGGTCAGAATTGTTCCAGTTCATATTGCTGATAGCAAATGTGAATGTCAGAGAAACACTCACTTCCTAAAGCATAGCACAGAATAATCAAAATAAACTTCTCTAATAAGCAAGTAGCAGTTGTCATTCTGCCAAGATGTTTACCTGCTTTGAGGAAGTTTGAGGAGATGAATCTGAATCTACTTTACAACACTTTGCTGAAATATTTATGGATGAAAAAGTATGACATATTATTTCAAAATAATCTCGTGGAAAGAAAGAATATGAAAGGAAGCAAGTCTGGCCAATGGGTACTGGTGGGTATACAACATTTGTTATACTATTCTTCTACAATTGTAAATATTTGAAATTTGTTATAATTAAAGGATCAAAAAAAATTTTTAATGTCTGATCCTCTGGGGAATAAACTAAGGTAGATGTAAAAAATAAAATCAATGATTTTTCTCTAAATATAATAGTACTTGCTGGACATGTAGGCATATGCCTACAATCCCAACATTCAGAAGGCTGACACAGAAGGATGATGAGTTTGTGGTGAGCCTGGGCTACATGGTAAGAGCCTATCTCAAAAAATCCAAACCAAACCCAAATAGTACTAAAAACACCTGGCTAAACTGACATCAGCCTGGCACAAAAACTTGTTTTGTGGAGCCAAGAACAATACTTAACATGATGGAAATGGCAAAAGTTACACAGTAGGCATTTCCACACCTCTTTTGAGAAAAAAATGTCTCAGACAGACTAGGGTTCAAATATCAGCTACCTGCAGACTGAAAGGTCTGGGGAAAATCATTAAAATTCTCTGAGTAGAATTCCTAATCTAGGGGCTGGGGATTTAGCTCAGTGGCACAGTGCCTGCCTAGCAAGTGCAAGGTCGTGAGTTCGATTCCCAGTACCGGGAAAAAAAAAAAAAAACAACAACCAAACAAAAAAGAATTCCTAATCTATAAAATACGACTAATACCAACCCTCTAAAATGTCTAAGGTTTTTGTGAGACTTAAATAAAATAACGTCATGTAAATGCTGAGCACATGCTTGGCATGAGTAGGTATTCAATAAGTGGCAGATATAAATCTTAATTTTTTTGTTGTGATGGGTATTGAGCTTAGGGCTTTGTAAATGCTAAGGATGCAACAACTGAGGTTCAGAGTGTATCTCAGTGGTATAGTATATACTTAAAACTGTGCAAGGCTAGCCAGGCATGATGGTGCATGCCTTTAACCCCAGCACTCAGGAGGCTGAGATAGGAGGATTGCAGTGAGTTCAAGGCCAACCTGGACTATACAGCGAGACCTTGTCTCAAAAAAACCAAAGATTAAGCAAGGCTGTGGTTTGACAGCCATCATGCAACAACAGTAACAACAACAACAACAACAACAACAGTAACAACAACAAAAAAAAGCAGCACTATAAAATACCAACTATATAGCCGAAAAGATTTTAAATTCTTGGTAAAAGACTGTGCCTAATGGTCTTCCTAATCTCCAGACACCTAGTCATAGTGAACTAAATCCAACTATACACAAAAGCTAGGCATGGTGGCACAAGCTTGTAATCCCAGAAGTCAGGAGGCTGTAGCAGGAGGATCACTGCAAGTTCCAGGCCAGCCTGAACTACATAGCAAGACCTTGTCTCAAAAACAAACAAATAAAAAAGCCAAAAAATTATACACCAAACCACTGCAAAATATTCAAAATATCTAACTCTAGTTTGCGTGAAAAATCAGAGGTCAACTGATTGACCTATTCCTGCACACCAAGTGATTAAAACCTTTCTTACATCTGTGCGGAAGTCTACACTGAACAGAGGTGAAGGTGGTGTTGGAGACTGTGTTGCCACAGGAAGAGTTGAAGAAACAGGTGCTTTCTGAGTGTGGTACTGTGCCCACTGGTCTGGCTTTCTTCTTATCTGCTCCTCACAGCTGGTCTTCAAATGACCACAAGGTTCCTAGGGAGGATAAAAGAAACAGTCTTGATCATCTAGGGAGTGGTGAACATATTTAACTATGCTTTGTGAAAATAATATGAAATAAATTTTTACACTGTTGAGAAAAACCCAAAAACACCCAGCAAAAAGTCATTATAGTGTATTCTATATACTTAAACAAAAATGGTTAATATTTATTCACATCAGTGATATTATGCAAAATCAGAGCATTTTTCTAGTTTAGAAAAATCTTTGTATATTGTGGGCTACTGAAAAAAGGCCTTGTCCTTGTATTTTTGAGATTTCTTTTTACCTTTCCATCAGTTGCCTATTCAAATATAACATTTACTGAGCATTAATACACATTAAGCCCCATTCTAAGAATTTTGTGTTTCCAATTTAATTCTTATAACAGTTTTACATGGTATGCACCACTATTATTTCCACTATACCGATGAAAAAACTGAGGCAGAGGGAGATTAAGTAGCTTTTGTTAGGTTCTACACATAGCAACAGGAAGAGCCAGGAGTCTGGTGGTTTGACTCCATACACCAGGTTCTTAACTACTACATTTTAGTAGCATTACTATTTCTATCACCACTTACCCTTGGTAAAGGCACAGTTGTCCTTGGTTCACTTGGTGGCTGACAAGCCACTGAATAATATCCATCTAATGAGTTGTATCTTTCTCGCAAAGACGTCTGATAGACAGATGAGTGCATCACATCCATTGGAGGTAAAGAATTGCTTCTAATAATGTCATCTCGTTGATACATAGGTGGGCGCCAGATGCGCCTGCTGTCGTACACAGGAGCATACATTCCAGAAGGTACTGGGGGAACTGGTCCATACTGCTGCGGAGGAGGAGGTTGATAAGGAGAAGAATTCATTCGATCTCGAGGGGAAAATGTACTGTAATGATCAGCATATGGCATGGAAGCAGGTGGGAGGGAGGACTCTGGAACATTATTGGACCTCACAAAGCGAGGAACACAGGGAGCCACACCAGCTGGTACCGTTGGAGGTGGTGGGTAGTATCCTTGAAAATTGGAAAGAGGAATATTTAATGTAATCTTAGTAAAATCCAACATTTTATATTGGTTTACATCTAAGGCATCCTTTAATGTGAGAAAATATATGCAATGATCTTTACCTTTATAAAGAACCTACAAATTTTCAAGATACCATTATATAAAAATCCTTAACAGTCAACATTTTGTTAAAATGCTCCTTAGAAGCATGTGACAAAGTTATTAAGAGATGTCCAGTAAATTTTCTTTTAGGGTATCTATTGCTAGAGATTTTGGATTAAGTATAGCAATTAGTTACATCACTGATTCTTATTAACCATTTTGGGAACAGATGTTAAAGACCTCTCTCAAAATTATATAAGCTGTTCTCTTTCTAAAATTGTATACTAGCATATAAAAGCAACCCATTTTGCATACCGTGATGGGCATTTACAAAATTCCCAAAGTCATGGACTCCATATTTGATTCTTGACAACTATAAAGCTATAAAACTAATAGCATCTTGATATTCACATGCAGAAGAATAACACTTTGATTTCTATCTTTAGCCAGGTAAAAGTCAATTTAAAATAGATTAAAGACTTTTAAGATCAGAAAGTAAAAAACTAGAAGAAGAAAAACAGTGGAGCCAGGCGTGGTGGCACATGCCTGCAACCCCAGAACTCAGGAGCCTGAGGCAGGAGGATCGTTGAGAGTTCAAGACCAGCCTGGGCTACAAAGTGAGCTCAAGGCTAACCTGAACTGCATAATGAGACCCT